GGGGTGGGGTGGGGGGTAATATGCCCAATATGGGCTAAATTACCCAGTTTCTTTAAACTGCTCGAGAAGATTCAGCACCAGGCTCTTGTCTTAAATTATATCTCTGACTTGAAACACTAGATGTAATTTAATCATTTACTAATGAGAAATCAAGACGACTATTTGTCAAATGTAACGACTACTGGCGGATTATGTCCATATCACAACAATGGGACCTCAGGCGGGAGTCATTATTGATTGATTGCGTTTTAATTTAATTTCTTCACGCCAGGCTTCACATTGTTTTTATCACTACTCAAAACCAATTTACAAAAAAACAAAAAAACAAAAGATAAAAACATGGCACAGTCTTGCCATTACATTTCACTTGTTTAACTTTACTCGATTATAGATAGACATTTCCCCAATCGGGCGCAAAAAGATTCAGGGTCACGTGCCCGAAAACATGGGTTTTCTTCGGGTACTCCGGTTTCCTCCGACAGTCATGTGATCAGATCCCCCGTGCGCTAACATCCGGGCAATCAAGAGTGATTTAAACGTTTTTCATAATTTTTGTAAAATACATAAAGTTTGTATTGATATCTTCTGTATTAAATTATAAATTTGACTTACATTTTATAAAATTGGTAGTTTTGAATTTATTTCACAGCGTGTTCTCTCTTTAAACTTTAGGCTACCTATACCACTGCTAACAAATATCAATAATGTTTAGAAACATTTTAAATATCATGAACGATAATAGCTTTAATATATTGGTTATTTTTATCGAAAGCTTTCACGCGTACATTGTAGCTGTCAATCCTCCCTCATTAAGAGGGAGACTCCCTCATTTTGTCCAAAATTTACCAATCTCCCTGGAAACTTCCTCATTCAAGTCCAAACTCATACAAACTCAAAATCTACATCCGGTGGTCAGATGATTTCCAAGTTACTGCGGATGTTTTTATGATCAAAACAGGCGTGTCTGAATCAAAGGAATGTTTTTTTTATGTATTTTGATTCATAAAAGGGAAAGATAAATTGAGCAAAATAGTTTCAGTCGAGTTTCACGAACTTTCTCCCTCATTGAAAATGCGGATAAAGGGAGATCTCCCTCACTGGAAATGCGGATAAAGGGAGATCTCCCTCATTGGAAATGCGGATAAAGGGAGATCTCCCTCACTGGAAATGCGGATAAAGGGAGATCTCCCTCACTGGAAATGCGGATAAAGGGAGATCTCCCTCACTGGAAATGCGGATAAAGGGAGATCTCCCTCACTGGAAATGCGGATAAAGGGAGATCTCCCTCACTGGAAATGCGGATAAAGGGAGATCTCCCTCACTGGAAATGCGGATAAAGGGAGATCTCCCTCACTGGANAAAAAAAAAACTGTTATTAAGGATACCTGTCCCACTGAACTGCCATTATTCCTACAGTTATCTCCCCTTAACTTCCCTTTGAAT